ATGGCGCACACAGGGCACACACCCACAGGGCACTCATTCACAGGGCATACACCCACAGGGCACTCATTCACAGGGCACACACCCACAGGGCACTCACCTATAGCACACATAAACATCCCTTGAGGACAGGAGTCAAATGCTAATGGCAGGAGAGGCAAAGAATTGTAGAGTCCTCAGCCAGGAGGAACCCAGGCAGTTGAAGCTGAATGGGCTGGGTTACATTCTGGATAAGGAGAGGGCCTCTGAATCGTTGCCCTGGGATGGCCAGAGCCTGCAGACACAGGAGCTGCATGACTCAGGTCAGCCAAGCCCTCACTTGGACTGTTTGGAGATACATATTTCTCTCTGTTAAGCTTTTGGCTTGAAGAATATATCCTCAGAAAAAAGCAATTTTAGCAAAGTTATTAAAACACTATTTCAGGTGGAATTCAGACAGAGCACAGAATTCTTCCAGTATTTTATGAGTTGTTCTTCCTGCGTGCACACCAGGCCATCCCTGCCCGCATCTGCTGTGTGACAACCCCTGCAGCTGGCACTGTCCTGTAGACACCCCGGCTCTGGGGCCAGGTGGTGGCTGGTGGCTCGATGACTGGGTGCTCAGAACCCAGTGGGTGCTCAGAGAGCAGCAGCCTTCCCAAGGCAGGAGAAGGAGAAGGGAGACTCTCCCGCCCAAACTCTGATTACAGCCAAGGAGCCAGCAGAAACAATGTAAACTTGAGGTCACTTAGCTGTCATCCTGCAGGGCAACAATGCAGCAGGAACCAGTCTCGCTTTCTGTCTGACAAAGGCTCCTTTTATAGAAAATGTTTTCTAGACACGGTGGTCCTGTCTCCCTCCCATCGAGACCCCTGTCTTTGAGCTGCTTGGCAAAGGTGCATGCTCCTGCTCCATCTCAGGTAGGCAACAGCCATGCCCAGGCCACTGTTACCCTGGGGAAGTGACAGCAAGAGGCACCCACACCATTCCTGCACTAATTCCCTCAAGCTGAAGGGGCTGGAAGGCAGCCTGCTGGGCAGTCCTTATCCACTTCACTCCCAACCCTGGGTTCTGTGCAGCGGAAGCCACTGATTGTCTTCTAGGCAGCAGGCACAGGTACCTGAGGGGCGGTCCTATGAATCCTGGCAGTGTACTCCCCCAATTGGACCCAAGAGACACCGAGCCCAGTCTGAAAAGGTGCCATTTTAGTCACCTGTTGTCTCATCAAATGTGTAAGCCATAGAAGGCAGGCTGTGTGCTGGCCTCTGGCTGCCAAAGACTCTTTGAAGCCAGCAAGATCCATCATGGCAGACGTCAAAGACAGGTGGGCTTCTAGGGGAAGACGTCCAATCCTGAGTAACAAAAGCAAGGCTGTATCCAAGCCTCTTTTAATATTCACAGCTGGAACAGGAGTCGGTTTCTAGTGGCAGCCATCTGGCTGATGAGCCTCCGGCCCTAGGCTAACTCTGACTATTGTCTTCAGCCTGTTTGAAGAAGCAATCGGAACTGTCAGCTAAATGACCCTCCAGCAGCTGGGCATCAGCTATACATAGCTCATTTTACTGAGCTTGGCAACATCCTCCCTCAGAAGAACCTCAAATTACTGCCCAACAGGCCCATTCTGCAGGATGCAGCTGGCTAAGCCCACAAGATGCAAAGGCTAGAAACACAGCTTTCCGTCTTCCTCAGATAAACAAGACTGCAGCTAAGCCTCTGCTCACACATGCTAAGGAAGCACTTGGCTGGATCCGTGAAGAGATGTGACCACGACCAGGGGACAGTAACTGGAATAGGCGGTCCCAAACCAAGTGGAACCCACAGGTCTGTGAGTCTCCACTTGCTGAGCTGGCCAGAGAAATCAGAAAGAGCAGAGGAACTGGAAGAGTTAGCGAGCAGAGCCAACAGCACAGGTGTGAGAGGCCAGGACCCACGTCTAGACAGCTGCCCAGGGAGCCTGCCACCAGCCAGGGCTTTGCTGAGGGAAAGCTGACTTCAGGAGATGAGGTCCAGGGTACAGTACCAGGAATTCAGAGTGCACTCAAACTAACAGCCCCTGGGGGCTGAGACCCAGTCTGATTCCTCCCTGCTGAGATCTGACAAACCCCGAACCCCACTGACCGGAGCCTGTAGGCAGGAACCATGTAGGTGTGCGGGCTCCTGACTGTTCATGGTCTTTTGCCCACGTGAGACAGGTGCTCAGTGCCGAGAGGGGTGGGGCTGGCCACACCACCAGGCCGTGCTTGCCCGTGGCCTTCGTGAGCTCTCACATCACGCATCAGCTCTGCTCCCCTCTACTCTCTGATTTCTGTATGGTGAGGTGGGGACAGACAGAGACCCAGCTCCTACTGTGTGTCACGGTTCCCTTATTTTCCTTGAATTGCTGTTGCACAGAGCTGTCCTAAGGCCTCGGGGAGGCCACCAGAATGAATGTCTTATGTATGAAGATATTCTGATGAAAGCACTTGAAGGGAGGAGTTTCCTCACAGTTCAAGGTGCAGTCCGTCCTGATGGGGAGTCAGGATGGCAGGGTCGGGAAGGACCCCACATCAATTAGTGTGATCACAATGATGCCCAAAGGCCCATTTCCTCCTGGCCGACTCCAGCCCTGCCAGGTTGATAACACAACCATCACACCTTCCTTGCAGAGGTTTCATTAGGAAAACAAAAGCCTGCCCGACGCGAGTCACCAGTAACCCCAGGGCCTTTTACAGCTGTCCAGTTCCGCAGCTCATGCTGGGGCTGCAGCTTAAACACCACTGGACGCATGAGCTCCTAAGACGAGCAGCACGGAGCACAGTGGCACCTGGGAGGTAGGGCAGCAGGACTGAGTTCAACAATGTCAAAAAAAACCCAAACAAGCCATTTTCCCAAGACAGAGTTTGCAATCCGTTTTTTGATAATTTTATTCCATTACCCTGCGGCAGAAAACTCACACCACAGGACAGATGATCTCCAGCCCAACACATCAGCACACCTACGGCACACAGACGTGCTAACTACCAGTATGGACACGCCAAGACCAGAAACACCTTGCTCAGGCACCCCCCACCCCACAGGTCCTGTCACTGGACACTGCCTGCCTCCTCACCACTCCTTTCCTTACTGCTTCAGTCCAGGTGACAATAGAGCAAAGCCGAATCAAGAGAGGTAGGCACACAGGCTGAGCCACTTCCAAGCAAACATAAAAATAGTATTTGATGTCCAGTCTTAAAATACCATCTGGGCTAGGACAGCGGGGACACACGACTTCCATGTGGCGTGTCACTTGGGTCCAGGTCTCCCCAGCAAAGGCTAGGACAGCGGGGACACGCGGCTTCAATGTGGCGTGTCACTCGGGTCCAGGTCTCCCCAGCAAATGCTCACTGCAAGGCAGCCAGTTGCTCAATGGAGTGGCGGATGGTCTTTGCAGTTTCTTCAAATTCTTTCTGCTTGCTGTTGGTCTCCTTTGCCTGCAATAATGAACATACACATTGGCCTGGAGTGGCCTAGAGGGAGGGGCTTGTCAGGCAAGAGTGAAGCCCTCGTTCCATTACCAGAATGACAAAATTAAGTATAATAATTACTAAAAGGAATGCTACTATTTGTGTGTAGCTTGAAATTGAACCTAGGGTCTTATGCATAATAAGCAAATACCCCCAACTTCTGTCTTGCTTTATTTTTTTTTTTTTTTAAGAAATAGGGATTCATGTTGCCCAGGATAGCCTTTAATTTACAGTCCCCCTCCTTCACCCAACCAAATTAGTTGAGACTGCGCCCTAGGATTGTACCCTATACCACCAAGCCAGGGTTAAAGAGAACTTAATTTTAAAAAATACTAGATTGACAAGAAAAAGCCCCTGGAAAATGGCTGTGCTCCTTATGGTGGGCGCTCCATAGACCCACAGAGAGCTGCCGAGGGCTCAGCGGGTAACAAGCACTGGCTGGTCTTCCAGAGGACCCGAACTGGATTCTCAGTACCTATACGGTGGTTCACAACCATAGGTAGCTCTAGTTCTAGTGGATCCAACGCCCTCTTCTGACCTCCACAAGCAAAACACCCAATACACATAAAATAAAGTCTAAATAAATAAATGGCAGAGCATGCCTTTAATCCCAGCCCTTGGGAGACAGAGTCAGGTGGCTCTCTGAGGGTGAGGTCAGTCTGGTCTACACAGAGAGTCCCAGTGCAGTCAGGGCTACGTGGTGAAGCCTTATCTCAAACAAAACAGTTGACTCTAGAGAGATGGTCCCGAAGTTAGGACACTGGGTGGTGTCTTTTCTTCTGAGTGCCTTTCTCTTGACTCTGCGTCCAATTTGTATTAAATATCTTTATTAAACCCAACTCTACTTCAGAAAAAAAAATCAGTAACAAAAATGAATACTAGGGACTTGGAGCAGCATCCTCAGAGTGTCTGAGCATGCTCCAATCAACCCCCCTCTTGACAACAAACTGTCACCCTCATTGTCTACTGTCACAGCTACTTCATAACGATCCCCACCAAGGAACACAGCTTACAAGCTGAAAAGAAACCTTCATAACCATCACAGCAGGTCCTAGCCTCTGCCTTGCAACACAGAACAATGCCAGGACCGGGGCCAGCTGGCAGTCGGCCTTCCAGCATCAGAGTCAGGGCAGAGCATCTGGCCCCTTTTCAGTGCTCTGCCAGTAAGCCCCTCCCAGAATCTTCCCCCTAAAAGGTTGCCAAGTGTAACACGTAAGGACACAGGCTACCTAGTTAAATTTGATGTCAGATAAGCAGTAAACCATCTCTGCAGACTATGGGGTGTTCACACAGACTCTGACCAATCTAACTCTTCAGGCTTGGCTGCATGGGAGCCTCATCCCTGTGGACTCATGATGCCACCTGCCCTCCCAAGGAACTCCACGTGAATGGACAAACAGCAAAGTTCAGCTGGTCCTCTGCTCCTGCCCCCTTAGCCAACCTCTACCCACACTGTTGCCAGCACAGGAGGGTCAGCCTGTGTCCACGGCTTCCCGCAATGGTTGTCACTCAGGTGAGGTGATCCTACTCAGGTCTTCTGACTGCACAGCCCCTGTCTCTCTGGCTACACATGCTCCCCAGGGTTGGGAGCACTTCCCGAGGCTGAGCCTTCAGGGGAACTGGCTTTATTCTCTGTCCTTACTCTCAACCATACATACAATTTTGTTCTTGGCTCTTTCTTTCTCCAGTTTCAAGAATTCACTGAGGGTTAGTTCTTCAAACTGCTTCTTGACAGTCAGGAAGGCACACCCAGGCGAGTGCTTTTTATGCTCCTCTCTAGAAAAATCAATAAACCAACATGTCAGAAGAGCCAGAGGCTGCATGTCATTGACAGGCCATCTCCCATCATCATGGCTGTCCTTGGCACACCCTGCTCTGCATCAGGTCCAAAATGTATCCCAGGAACAGTCCACACAGCCTAGCTTCTCTCTGCTGGGTCTTCCCCACCCTTAAAGCTAGAATATGTTTCTGGAGTCTTTAGCAATCAGTAGAAAACGTTGTATGAGTCAAATTCAGAAGAAAAGCTGGAGAAATGGCTCATGGTTAACAGCACTGGCTGGATTCCCAGCACCTGAAGGGACGGTAGTCAGCCTGAGCCTGGCAAACATGGCTCTGGCAGGCCTTGCCCTTCTCCCTCATTCCCTCTGCCTTGCTAAAATCCATTGGATTACATTACTAAAGCTGACCCCCAAGGTCTATTCCCTCATTTAACCACTTCCTCCTCTTGAGGCAGACTACCAAAGTCCAGCTATCTAAAGTCCCCTTTGGCTCACCTAATTAACATGCCCAATTAAAATTAAACACCTCATCCTAACACCAGAGTTCCCCTTTATCTTTATAAACCGCCATTTGCCTATGTGTCACAACTGTCTCCTCTCTATCCAGGCAGTCCTTTGTCCTGTGCAGACACCCCTGCCCTCTGCCTTTGTCCCTTCCCCTTCTCCCTCTTTTCTATCTCCTTCACCACCACATCCTAGCCCATTCTAACACAGACCCCCCCCCCCCCAGGCGGTGGTGGTGTACACCTTTAATCCCAGCAGAGACAGGAGGGTCTGAGTCCAAGGTCTGCCTGGTCTATAGAGTGAGTTCCAGGACAAGCTCCAAAGCTACAGAGAAACCCTGTCTCAAAAAGCCAAAAAAAGAAAAAAACAAAACAAAACAAAAGATCCCTGCAAGGTCACTTGCTGTTGTTTTTCTGCCCGAGTCAGAAAGCAGCCACTGTAACTTCTCTTCTGTTTAATAAAGGAGCTCTGTGAAAACAGGTGGTGTGGGTGTGGTCTGTGTCTAATCCAGGGTCTAAGAGGAAGACCCTGCTGTGTGGGAGTCCCCTTCAGCTCCCACCATCTGTAACTCCAGTTCCAGGGATTTGCCCTCTGAAGGTACCAGGCACATACATGGTGTACAGACATACATGCAGGCAAAACAATCATATGCAGAATATGCATGTCAAATCCCTTTGAAATCTGGGCCACCAAAATGGCTCAGGAGGTGGGGATGCTTGCTACCAAACCTGCTCACCTGAGTTCAATACTAGGGACCCATACAGCAGAAGCAGAGAACTGACTCCCCAAAGTTGTCCTGACACCCACATTCACCATGACACCAGCATCCAAACACACATAAAACAAGACATAAAGTAATAATAATATATAAAAATATCTGTGGCTGGAGATGGGATAGTGGTTAGGGGTCCTTGCTGCTTTTCCGCAGTGCCTGACTTCAGTTCCCAGACTTCAGTTCTCATAACTGACCATAACTCCAGCTCCTAGGGATCTGACGCCCACACCCAGAGCAGAAACTAAGACACACCTGTATGCGCTAACCAAAAACAAACAAAACAAAAAACCGAGTCTTAAAATATCTCCAGCGGGCCAGGCAGTGGTGGTGCACACCTTTAATCCCAGCACTCAGGAGGTAGAGGCAGGTGGATCTCTGTGAGTTTGAGGCCAGCCTGATCTTTGGAGGGAGCTCCTGGATAACCAGAGCTACATAGAGAAACCCATCTCGAAAAACAAACAGAAATCAAAACAAATATCTCAGCAGACAAAAACCATCCAAGTTGGCAGTACTAGAGAAACTTAGGTAGAAATTGAAAATTCAAGACTAGTCTGAGCTATGTAACAGGTTCAAGAACAGCCTGGAACACACAGCAAGTTAGGAAAACCATGCTCTCCTACTAAATTCAAATTTTTGCTTTTGTCCCAACTCTAGTTTAACCCAAAAGGTTCCCAATGGAACCAGGGCACCAGGAAACCCATTGCGAGTAACCTGCTGAGACTTACAGAGGGTTGTCATCTGGTTCCCAGCCTTCCAACTCCTTAAAGCAGAAAAAACACTGGGCCAAGTCAGGCTCATTGTCGGTAGGGCAGTGGATGAAGCCAGCTTCCGCCATCTGAAAACGGCAGCACAGCTCGTGAGCACAATCAACAGCCTGGTTTTAATCCTATCATTCCCAGAAGTCGTTCCGGGCCGAGAGCTGGGGCGGCCTTTTTGGAGAGAGTGGAAAAAGGCTGTGTCTACCGGACCTAACGACAGTGGGGCTCAGACAGAAGGATGAGGAGAAGTGGGGCGGCCTCGCCGAGGACAAGGCAGTCGTCCCGGATCCTCGGCAGAGCAAAGCAGCTTAGCTCACAGTGCGAAGCGAGGGTGGGGGCTTCTGACCTGGGGCCCAACCCCTCCCGCCGTCAGGCCCGGGCAAGGAGTCGCTCCAAAGCGGGGGCACTGGCGTCCCGAGGCGGGGCGAGCTCACCCGCTCCGGGGTGCAGGAGCAGCCCTCCAGGAAGGGCCAGTTCTTGAAGGTGGACATGCGGTGGTTCATGAGATACATCTGCCAGGTCGGGGGCAGAGCCGGAGCCCCCATGACGCCGCCCCTGCAGCCGCCGCCGCGAACTTCCGCCCGGAATCCGGAGAGCGCAATTCAAACCCCGCGGGCGGCGGCGCGCCGAAGAGCATGCCGGGAGCGCCCCGCCTCCCCGTCG